CATGCTTCGAGCTTAGTATCATTAACTGTACGAAAACCTTGCCTCATCTAAAGAAAGTAAGCCGGTTTATGTCTAGCTGCGCAAATTTTTTCCTCGTTGCTTGTCTCGAGCGACAGAAAACTGGCCCGCTGCTTGCCAGAATGACACGTCCTGCCGCTAGAAGACCGGTCATGCGGCTTGTGGGTCGTGCAGGTCCCTCATTGCAAACTAATAGACACACTCTATCACATGACCCCCCCCTTTCTGGCATGTGGTCCGCATTATTTGCCGAATTTGTTCATTTTCCGCTGAAATAATCCGATGCGCACGGGTGGCGAGGTCCAGTAGTCGAAAAGGTTAGGATCCTTCCTGCTATCATGCGAAAAACCGCCGGAAGAGAAGGCTCACCCACTATAATATTTAATTAGCTGACAACAGGTCTCTAGTGCTAGAAAACTCTTCCGTCGTGCCGGCCAAGCGGCAACGTATGAAAAATTCGTGGCCGCGTATTGTCTCCGTCCTCATGCCGCTCGGGGCCTCGTGTGTGGATAAAAGCTGGATAGTGATAATCAATATCGAAATAAAGGTGCAGCTGCTTAATTTTCCGTCTTCGTCAGCTTCACCGACGCGACGCACTCATCGAATTGCAGTGGCACGTGCTGTCGGTGTGGAATAAAAAGACAGGTCACCTCTATGTTTAAACGACGGCGATCCGTATTTAGTTATCTACATTGTAAGTCCGCCAAAAACATTGTCCGTGCTCAGAAAAGGGTACTGAAGAACCTCAAGCGACAAAGTCAGGTTGAACCTAAGCATCTCATTGACGCAAGATAGTATAAGAAGCTTCAAAAATGTCGTCCCTAGTTACGTACGATACCAGTAGATTCATGCTGCACGCTTCATTGGAGTAAATTAAGTAATAAAATGAGAAGAGGTACCTACAAAGGTGCTATAATCGTGCCAAATTGTTTTGCCTATCTTGGCAGATTATGTGCTCTGCATTGAAGAATTTTCACGAAGTCTGGACATTACGATTCTGTTCAACTCTAGCTTTGCATCCTAGCACTGTGTATACTTGACCTCTTATTCTCAAATAGGTATCATAGACAATAAGCAATGTTACTGGTAAGCTTAACTAGATACTGTGCCTGTTCTGGACCCTTTTGTGCCCATCACTGAAGGTTTTGGCCAGTCTTGGCTCAACTTTTGCCGAGAAGAATCGCGGACAAAAACGACAGTGCGACTGCAAGAGTCGTGCAGCAATGCAAGCAAATGGTCGTCATATCATGTGTCCGAGACTGAAAAATTTGTTTTAGTCTTGGCCTTTTTTCGCGCTAAGTATAATGCAAGCGAACAAGACAGCGCGGGGGTAAGAGTCGTGCGGAACTGCAAGCACACTATTGTTGTATAATCATAAAGACTCAGTGCTAAGCTCCAGATGTGCCAAAACTCGCTTGTATCTTCAGAAGCATACGTGCGATATTGCTGCTGTCTATAATACCGATTTGTGCAAAAACATGGTCAAACGTCCCAAATTTGAGGTAGCAACGCAAACGGACGACATTTGTGCGATTGAATGCAAATGCTGGGCCCAAACGTAACCTAATTATTTCGCCGCCTCCAACTTGACACAAACATGAAACTGTATTATGCTATTTTGCTGGTGGTAGTGGCTGCTTAAGTGTAACGGGGTTACACGAAGGTGTGTATTTTACATACACACCTGCCACACCAGTGGTGTGGTGTACCTTGGGTACAAAGGAGGTGATGTGACCGTACCTGAAGTACGAAGAGTCGCATCGTGGCAGAGAGCCACGTGGTCACTATACTTATTTAAAGTATAGCGACTATACATGTTTGCATAATAATAATAGGCTTTAGAGCCAGTAAATAGTGACTAGCACTAAGTATAGAGTAGGTGCTTCTATATTTAGTGTTAGAAGATAAACATAAATATAAATCAGTTTCAAACCTGCTCTGTAAGCATCACTGCTTGAGCTTTCTATTCCACTTAGGAGAAGTTGTATCTTTAAAACTAGTCTCTCTGAGACCCGGTTGCAACAACCAATAGACATAAGCTTAGGAGCTAGCCTAGGAGGGTCAAGCACCCTAAGACGTAGAAGCTCTCTGAGCTTGTCTTCCTCTGCACCTAGTGCATAAGTAGCGTAGCTACAGTAGCTTGGCTACATCTGCTATAGGTCTTATTACGACGCTGAACATTTTGTTTTAGAGTAAAACGTTAGTTGTCTTGTTTTTACGTTACACGGCTTAAGGCTACTAATATAAGCTTAACAATCTCACCATAGTATAGATAAGTTATATGAATACAACTTGGCCCTGCGAATATCAACCCATTGTTATCTCAATATTTAGATCAAAGTATTTAGTACGAGTCGTATTATTTACAAATGCAGGAATAGTCTACCGTACGTTAAACAGTAAATCATACTAAATCATACTGTTTAACGTGGGGTAGACAACTCCTGCATTTGTAAAAATTACAACACAGTATACACTACGATCCGGAAGCTTTATTTCCTTCCACACTAAATTTAAGTAAGTGTAATCCTCCTACATGGTCAAATTATGTCTTTGAAGAAATTTCTTCCTCCAGGGCGCTGAAGCCGCAAAGTGAGCATTATCAATACCTAGCTCTTTTGCCACCTCCAATGCATGCTCAGACAGCATGGCACCTGTCACGGGTACGCCCAGCCTCTGCAGCGAGCGCAACCATACTACAACGCACTTTTCAGCATCCTCACTAAGTGTAAGACCGAGACCTGGCTTACGCAGTCGATGCGCCTTGGCGGTATTCACTGACTCGCACGCCTTCTCAATCTTGTCACGGTTTTTGACCCAGCCGTAGATGACGCGCTTCTTACTGCGTTTGGCCTGCACCGTTAGCGTCGGAAAGATGCTCTCCACTGTCGTCGCCATATCACCACTTTCTTCAAATTGCTTGATGGCCGCCAGACGCATCTCGAACGATGCGGACGTGCGGATATTTTTGCGCTCCTTGCGTCCGCCTCCCTCCTTCAACGGCTGCCGCCCCATAACTGTGTTTTTATTCGTTATTAAGTAAACAATTATTCCATAAATATATGTATATATATTCAGCCTAATTTCAAACCTTAAAATCAATGCAACTCTACTTTATATCGACTTAAATAGTGATTAAGCTTTTCCAAGTAGGATGAAGAAATGCTGTGTCTTTCCAGTCCTAGAAGCATAAAATAGCGGCGTAAAAAAGCGCAAAACATTTTGGGTACTTTTGTACATAATGGACACAAGTTTCCTAAACTCTTGTGGTTAGAGTTTTCAAAGCATTATATCCAGGTACTGAGCAAAATCAATGCAAAAACTAAAATGTGCAGGTATACTGGCGCTGCTGCTTGACAGGCTCAAGGCTTGCAGAGAAAGAAAGCAAAATTCTTTCAGTAAAAAAAACTGAGGTAGCCTGGTCGATTCTGCCGCGTGTTGTGCTAGACGTCGGATGAGCGAACGACTTGCTTTGCACTAACTATCAGGTTGTGACGTCCTGAGTGAGGTTAACCCACCTTCATCACAATGACTGTCAAGTGTACATATGACTGAGCAGGTCGCGCACAAAAAGTTATTGTCTGTGTGGCTTGCGTATGCTCCCTGCTCCATATGCTAACGTAACGACATGACTCCACGTAGCGGCGGCCTGCGGTAGGTCTCGAGAAATGAAGCATTACTTAAGAAGGCTGATGTAGTTATCGTCAGTGGCTACCGGTCTAAGTACTGCAGCTAACGGAAAGGTATATTCGGAACTTTGCCTTGTCTTATGCAGCAGTGGCAACACCAGCGTGAACATATCAGCAGCACCAACACTTTTGTAGCAACAACCAGCTCAGTGCTACATGGGAGGAAGGCAGAACAACTGCGAAGGCATGATGCAGGCATCGTCTGATCGGCAAAAATATCGTGACGGCCGGTCGAGGACGGCTACTGTTGTGAGGTGGCTGCCAACCAGTACGCTGAAGCCGGTTCTGGCTTCGCAGTGCGACCCTAAGAAACACGCGATAGCATGAAAAGGCAGGCACTCTTTATTTTTAGCTTCTACGACTAACATTTTTGTGGTTGCAAGAGAAAAAGTTTTTGGGTGAATAGACAAAATGATGTTTAACTTTATTTAAAAGTAAGTGCCACAAGAGCCTAAGTCGGATACCTCATCAAAAGCACGAAAAGTGCACAAAATTAACCAAGACTGACACAAGCGTGAGATTTACACCAATAAACTTCGTCTCATCTTGTACTCTTTGCCACAGCACTTGCTGCCTCGGTACACTTGCAGTCACCTTATTAAGTTTTGGAATGATACTTCGTTCTAAATTACTGAAGCTTGAACTCAATTCCTGCGACTGTAGCGGTTTTGTCGACACCGCAACAATCATAACGTAAGTCGTTATAAATAAACCACGCAACACAAACATATGGAGATACAAACACGAACAATCTACCCTCACTTGCCACGTTGTGCGTCACATCGTTGTTAACGGTGATGAGCAAGTCGCACGCGAGTGCTGCCGTGTCAGACATGACCGGTTGCTTTTACATGGTATAAACTCAGATTATAGTTGAATTAAACGGTTTTTTAACAAAAGGCAAAATGTATTCAGGTTTTATTTATAATATCGACAATTTGGCGACATGCTTGCTTGCAACGTCTCAACTATCGTCCACTAGCTTATGCCCATCCAATCTATGCCCACCGAGCTGGCTGAGTAAGATGCCAAAAAAAAGTCTACCGTAAAAAACTGTCAGAGAGCGGGTAATTGTCGGAGTCATATTAAGGTCTATCCATTGTGCAACAGGCGGTAGAATTTCCTTAAGATAGGAGAAGCCAAAGCGACGCATATAGAGTTGCACTACGTTTTAAGGAGTAGTCAGAGGAGAAGAGCGAAAACGACTGGCCACACTACTGAACTTGCCACTTGCTGCTTACTACCGATCGCGCGCAACTTTGTCTTACACCAGTACATTCATTGCACGACAAAATGTTCGACGATCTCTTCAAGTTACTACGCAGCCCACGTTGGGTCAGCTCACCCATTGCGCGGCGCTTTGGCTTTGGCTCTGAGCTGTCATACGAAGACGACGAGCTAGGTAGGCTGCACTTAAAACAACATAACTTGTGAAGACTGATACGAACGACCAAGTCACCCCATTGTCGAATTGTTTTTTGTAGAAGATACGCCGTCAAATTGGATTAAGATTTCGACATCCGGCCACCGGCCACCGGTACGCAGCGGTCATTCGTCTGTAGTTGGTACGACTGGTTGTGCTACGTGTTGATCGTTGCACGTTGTTTGCTAACAATCCGTTTGCATGTTAGTCGGTGACACAATGTATGTGTTTGGAGGCTACAACGACGGAGACTGCCACAACGATATCTACTCGTTTGACCTAGTTCGTCACCATTGGCGACACATTAAGACGTCAAATGGTATCTTCCCCGGTACGATCCGTGCAATCACTCTCATTTTGATCGAAACTTTACTTACCTTACAGTTTTCATCTGCCTGACAGACGGTCGTGCCTCCCACGCTTGGTGTACATCAGCGGATAAGACGAAACTGTACCTTTTCGGTGGATCCGGGCCGCATTGGGGACAAACAAACATGGGTAAATTGCTGGAGTTTAATATTTGCGACAAGAACTGGACAGTCATCGAGGCAAAAGGCACACAACCACCGCCAGGATACGGCCAGAGTCTTTGTGCTATTAACAAGAAGCTGTATCTCTTTGGAGGCACTTCTGGACATGTATACGTAAATGACCTGTACGTTTTTGATGAAGTGACGAAGGTTTGGAATAAGGAAGAAACAGGCGGCAAGCGTCCCAGCCCGCGGTACAAGCACCAAGTTGCAACGATCAGCAATTGTATGTACGTCATTGGCGGTGGTCTTTACGATCCACCTAAAGGACCAATAGAGACGTATTGTCTCGATGTGGATACTCTTGAATGGCACGATGTGGAGTGTGGTGGTGACGTTCCGCGGTCACGCATCGCGCACACAATTTCACAGCTGTCGAGCGACCCTTACCGGTTGATCATGTTTGGTGGACGCGACGATAGTGGTTTGAGGCAAAACGAACTGAGTGAGCTGAATTTGCGGACAGGTGAATGGCGAATTTACTACAATGAGGAAAGCCATCAGCCCGATGCTCGTGACTTTCACACGAGCGTGTTTCATAATGGCCACATTTTCGTATTTGGTGGATCGAATGGCGTTGAGCGCAACAATGATGTTTTCCGCTACACGATAACGCGTCAACCATCTACATTACTGATCCTTGTAATGCATGCTTTGCACCGAAATATGGAACACATCGCGAAGGAGGATTTGAAAGCGCTTCCACATGAGCTTAAGATTGGCTTGGAGCAAATAAATTCCAATGTGGAGTGCTCTTACAACCCTACGTGGTATGTTACCGAAGACTAAGCAACAGCAAGAATGTACGCTGCCAAAATATGGAAACCAATGTGTTAGATTGTAGCTAAGGTTTCTTATTAAAATTAATTATCCCATTTGAACTAGTAGACGGAGTCCATGATTCCGCCCGTGCAAAGCTGGATGGAGCACTCGGCTTCGGGCATGCAAGGACTGTCGATGATCTTGCTGCACAACAGCACATCATGAGCGTCAAACGGCGACTGCTAAAAGCACAAGCATACGATTTCTCTATACCAAATGCGATTATCTGCTCGCCCCTTCTTCATCTGCATCACAAGCGGTTAACCAATTGAAAGTAAACTTTGTATGATGCATGTTTCGTACAAGTACGCGAGTGTGAACTCCATGCGACATCACGTGGCCACCTACACAAATTACGTTGAGGTTAGCAATTCTTGTCTAGACAACTCCGTGCCAAACTTTACATCTTACCGACAGGCTTCATCGCGGACCCAAATATCACATTTGCTCCTGGGTCAGCCATCACTTGGTTTACCACAAGAACCGCAATGTTAAATTCCTGTAAGCGAGATGAGTCATTAGTAGCAAATGCTAACTGAATAGACAAGCACAATAAAAAATGAATACCTCAGCGTGCCTTACAAGCCGGACAAGGTGCTGATTAAGTTGCTGTTGTCGTTCACTAAGCTCGCCTCTGTAAATTGTTACGGTCAGTTAGCAGCGCAAAAGCAAATGAATAAAAATTTATGACAAAAAAATAACGAGTAGGTGTTTCTTTGACTTGCTTTCCAGAAAAATCTGAGCGAAACAATGCTGTCACCGAGTCAATGATCAACAGGCGAAATGGGCCCTGGTCAGGATCCTGTAAATGCACAATTGTAAGACAACAAATGTACACGCAATCCCATGCTAATGCGCACCGCGAACAGAACACCAAGTTTAATGATGAGATCCATCTGAGCATCGTGGCTATGAGCCCTGCAAATAACGTGTGAGATTATTCATCGAATATCCTTTGACGCAGTAGAATTACCTTGCTACAATGATGTTGTCAAGGACATCCTCAGGATCCTACAAAAAGTTACAATTTAGACATTGCAAGCAGATGTTAGCCATATCGTGGCTAAGCTTCTACCAGCTTGTATCGCTCCTTTGCAATCTCGGCGACACGGTTCTAACAATGAGATCAGTCAAACATTGAAATATATCCTCAAGCATTAAGGTCTTAGGCGGGCATAACAGACCGGCCGAAATGTTCCTTCCGTGTCAACAAAAGCGACTTTCCCTATCGAGCATGCATTGTCAAACAATTAAAGCATTGAAATTAAACTAGTAATATCGCATTGCTCATACCAGCTCCTCCACCTCGTGAGCGAGGTAATTGCGCTGTCACACAGAGCTAGTGAAACCAAAGCTGTTATCAGTAATGCTTGCGTTTTGATCGTTAGTTAAAGTATTACCGTATGACACAATTGTGTTTTTCCTGTGCGGTATTCACCGTGAACCTACCCATGCACAAGATATTTTTCTCTGTTAGAATGCTTGCGTAGAAGAAGGCGTCTTTAACAGTACTTTTTCTTACTTCCGTGACGGACATAGTTTCCAAGCCACCCCCAAGAATTTTGTTAAATTCTGCAATAAAACACGGGATGAATGAGACAAAATTAAATAACGATATGCTTTTCTTACGCTTTGATCCTGTGGTGATGAATATTTTGCTTAGACTCTGCAGGTACAGGGTGTTTGCCGAAACAAACCCACTTTTTTCGGGCATTAACTGTGATAATTGGTTTGGTTTTAGTACGGTGCAACACGCTTGGTATTATTGTGGTCACTCTTTACGCAATACCTTTCTGCCTGCTTGAAGAAGCTACACACATCCACACGGTGATTTAAAGTATGTTTTCGCGGTACAACAAATCTACTGGTACCTTGTCCATTTTAGACTCGCTGATCCCTTTCACGCCAAGCAATTTCCGTTGAGACACTTGGAAGAGCTGTCCAATCGTTGCAAAACCACCGTTCTTGAGCTTGGCAATATCTGTCGTGTTGATGCCAGCATCCTGAAGCAGGTCGATCGGCTCATATGAGCGCAAGGTGTATTCTTCGTCGTTGATGTCGTCCACGCAAGATACTGCAGAACTTTGTAGTTCTACCTCCTTTGAATGGCGCTCGCTGTTGATGTAGAGCACAAGAACACCAATGTCACCGTTTTCTGTTGCCTAGAACCGTGCGTGCATGTGCTTACCTCCTAATCATGCCCATCCTTCCTTTCTGCAGCGTTTCGTTGCTTGTCCTGCAGAATTAAAAAGTGTGAGAAAAAGAAATGCAAATATATCCGTGCGGAACAGAATGATGGTCAAAGAAACTTCAATGTAAAGTTGAGGTAGGCAATAGCTAAATCGGCTGGATTTCAGTATACATGTACGCGTTACTTGCTCTCCGTATTCGCCGGTGGCGGCAAATGTAGCCATTCCACATTTCTCTAATAATACCGGTTGCCACGCTGCATGTGAAGATCCACGACTCTCCAGCGGAGGGATTCCTGCTCCTCGTCGTAGTCACGCTGGAAGGCAAAAATGTAGTAGTAAGCCAGCACCTCGTCCTCGGATCCTTCAACAATTTCACCCTCCCGGTTGCGAATACAGTTAATCTGTTGAGCTTGGAATCGCATCAAAATAATTGGAGCTTGCTTATCTTCAGCCTATAGAACACCTGATATTAGACATTTGAATCATCATTCAGCACCAAAAATAAGCTGTGCGTACCGTAGCCTCAATTACTTCCACATTGTCAATGCTGAGCACATGCGGATCTAAAACCAACCCCTCAGACTTGCGCTCGCGAATAGCAATATTCACACGCGAATATGCTGCCTCGCCGAACCATTTCTTCAAGTCACGGCTGTTGCCTCGCAAAAACGCCTCCAGCACTCCCGGTAAGACAATCTCCTCAATATTCTTTTTCCATTCTTCCAAAATAAAGTCCGGCTCAGCGCGACGAATTTCTTTGATTGCAACACCCATGGGAGTCTCGCCGAAAAGTCCGTCGTAGATTGACGACAGTCGGTATACCCAAGGATTTTGACTGGTTTCCCAGACTTCCAAAACTTCTTCTTGAGCGTCACTAAGCTTGTCCTTTACCTGCTTCGTCGTCTGATGCACCTTCTTACCTGCATCTGTTTTCGCCGCCTGCTTCGCTGCATTCAGAATACCCTGAATTATCGGTGCTTCACGGAAACGAGCACTTACACGCTGCCACGCGCTCTCCTCGTTCTTCACAGCTACCAATGCACTAGTTCCTGTGTATTCAGCATGCTCGTCGTCATCGACCTCTGCCTTCTTTACCTTTTCAATGGACGGCGTGCGGACCGAGGCCAAAGCCTCGTCCACCGTCTTCTTTTCTGTTTTACCAAAAAGCTCTTGTGCGGCCTCCATCCACTCGTCACGCAATTTAAACAACTTGTTAGGGTGAACAAGTCTATTTTTTTGAATGCCAATGCTGGCAAAAAAGTTCTTCACAAACTCACGAGCTCCATCAATTGTTTCGTTCGTCCCCTCAGAATCCTGCACACCCAACCCAATCCAGACAATAAGCTCAGAATTCGACAATAAAAATAACGTTCATCATCAGCTTACCTCACCATCCTTCTTGAACTTCTCAGTCTCGCAATCGCACTTCGTGTCAGTGTGTTTTGAGCAAGCTTTCGTCTCGGCTTTGGCAGCTTTAGAGACCTTCGTAGTGTTCTCATACGATTCTTTTATATTCTGTGAGGCCTGAGAGGCTTGCTCTTGAAAGCTCTTGGCCGCTACCTTGGTTATAGAGCTCATCTCACTCATTTTAGTCTTGGCTACCTTTTCCACACTCTTATACTGCTCCTTAGTCTTCTCCAATTCCTCAAAATAATTCTTAAGCTCCTCGTTCTTGTCCATCTCGTTTTTAATTTGATTCTTTAGATTTGAAAAAGTACCCATACTGCGCGACTGCAATGGACCATATCTCAGCACATTAGAAAGAGGTGACTGGTGGATTGTGGTGAAGAGATACGCGTGGCGCAAGACGCGCGAAGGAAAGCGGAGCATCGAGGTGAGCAGAATGTGACAGAAGCGCGTCCAATGCCGTGCTAGGATTGGATAGAGTTAGATTATTTGTTCATGTACAATTTATGCAACCGTCGCGTCTCCACCAGCCAAATGCATGAGGATAATTTGTCACAAGCTTGTCTATGCGCTCTTCTATATGCGAACATTTAGCGTGCTGTAAAACGTCACTCTACATTCCATTGGTTGGTTGGCAGAATGGGTAAAACACGCCGTGGAGGAACGAGCCATGCGGAAGAGAAAGCTTCATTTGCCGAGGTGAAGGACGCTACTGTTGTGACGACGAAAGGGATAATTACTGGTGTTGAGTTTGTGGATACAGAGCAGGAAAAGACGTCAAAGCATGCTAAGAAGGACACGAAGCAGGGAAATGAGCTGAAAACCGCTGAACAGGGAGAGGAAGGACTTGCAAAGGCGAAAATAAACGACGACCAGGATGCGGAGACAGAGCAGCCGATTGCGGAAGCCGCTAATCACGGCATCGCTGATGGAGCTGTAGACGAGCGCTACTTTTCTAGCGAGAACTTTGCATCACTACCGTTGTCTGACCCCACACGCAAAGCACTGGTGGAAATGGGCTTTACAAAAATGACTAAAATACAGGCCAAATCGATTCGACCTCTGCTGGCTGGTCAAGATTTAGTGGGTGCAGCCAAGACAGGTTCCGGTAAAACGCTATCTTTTTTGATTCCAGCGGTTGAGCTACTGCACAAAGTTCGCTTCACGGCACGCAAGGGAACGGGCTGTATTGTCATTTCACCGACGCGTGAGTTGGCGCTGCAAATTTATGGCGTTGTACGAGACATCTGTAAATACCATTCGCAGACGCACGGTATTGTTATGGGCGGTGCGAACCGCCGCGCTGAAGCCGAACGCCTGGTGAAGGGCGTTAATATTCTGATTTCTACGCCTGGGCGATTGCTGGATCATTTACAAAACACAAAGGCTTTCATTTACCACAATCTGCAAATTCTCGTTATTGATGAGGCCGATCGAATTTTATCTATTGGTTTTGAAGAGGAGATGCGCCAGATTATTAAGTGCATTCCAAAGGAGCGCCAGACGATGCTATTTAGTGCGACACAGACGAAGAAGGTGGAGGATCTTGCTCGTCTATCAATCAAGGAGAAGCCAGTGTACGTGGGTGTTGAAGAGGAAGATACCAAGGCTACGGTGGCTACGCTCGAGCAGGGTTACGTTGTTACACCGAGTGATAAGCGTTTTCTGCTGCTCTTTACATTTCTTAAAAAGAATTTGAAGAAAAAGGTGATGGTTTTTTTTTCGTCGTGTAGTGCTGTCAAGTTTTACGGCGAACTTTTGAACTACATCGACATTGCCGTGCTAGACATTCACGGAAAGCAAAAGCAGAACAAGCGCACAACGACGTTTTTCCAGTTTTGTAATGCGAAGACTGGTATTTTGCTCTGCACAGATGTGGCGGCGCGCGGTCTTGATATACCGGCGGTGGACTGGATCATCCAGTTTGACCCTCCTGATGACCCACGCGAGTACATTCACCGCGTGGGTCGTACTGCTCGTGGCGCTAAGGGAAAGGGTAAAGCACTGCTCATGCTTTTACCTGATGAGCTTGGATTTCTCAAGTACTTGAAGGCTTCAAAGGTTGCACTTAATGAGTATGAATTCCCTCTTTCAAAGATTGCTAATGTCGAGTCTCAGCTTATGAAGCTCGTGGAGAAGACGTACTACCTCCACAAATCGGCTAAGGATGCTTATCGTGGATATTTGCTGGCGTACGCGTCGCACTCGCTGAAAGGCATTTTTGATGTTGGCCGTCTTGATATGCAAGGGGTGGCCAAGTCGTTCGGACTGCAAGTTCCACCAAAGGTGACTCTTCCAGTGAAAACGAACGGCAAGACCGGGAAGCGCAAGGGGGTTTCGTTTAATGGCGACGCTAACTCGCGCGGTAGCAAGTTTCAGCGCTCAGGTCACGCATTTAGTGCCGACAATCCGTACGGTAAGCGGGCTTTGGGTGACAAGCGTCAGTTTGCGCACTAATAAGGAGCAGGCTTCGGGTGACAAGCGTCAGTTTGCTCAATAGAAGGCCGCTGGCTGCTGCAGTACTATGTTAACAAAGGCTTTTGCCGCTCCATATTTTCGTTAATAGAGCGAGCTACATATTTTGATAATACTGCGGTCTTCGTTGTTTGCTATGAAGCGAAGTCAGTGGTCAGATTACCTTCTATTTATAATAATTCAGCCCGATGTTACCACACTTATATGTCAAAACAAAAATATTGGTAGAAGTTAGATTGTTCGCCTGATACCAGCAACACTAGTGCCTATACTCTGGCGTAAATATAATGATTAGCCCGCATTCGCGTGCAAACTGCGCGTTGTACACACCCGATTTTTTTTACATATGCGGCTCAGATCTTTTGTTTGGCGCAGAAATGAGTATTGGAATAAGAGTGCAAAGATTTTTACCCAGACAAGTGTACTATTAATGAGCAGTAAAATGGGCGCGCAAACCCATTACAAATATGCCAAATCTTTGCTGGAAGCACTGGATGGCGACAAAAAAGAGTTGATCACGTTTGAATATGCAATTCATGGAACAATTGTCAGTACCCCACTAAGCCAAGGCAAGGAAACGTGCGGCATGAAGCTACTCTAGTCATACGTGACCAATAACGGCAATTTGGAGCTTCTTGACAAGTCTTGCGTCGATGAAATGCCCCCGTACGATATGACCCTGTCGTCTCAAGATCAGTACTACATGATGAGCACGGACGATGTTTATGATGGTTTTTACAATCGAAGTCTACATGACAACCTTGCCGTCTAAGCTCAAGTCTTGCCGAAATGAATAAGAGTTTTACTGCTTCGCTTAAGATTAAAAAAAATAGGTAATCGAGAAGCCGACAAAAATACAAAAGTCATGAGTTTTGCTTTACATCGATAGTTTTTCCTATTGTTGTTGCAGAATTTGAAGCATATACTAAATTGTGCTTTCGCACTTCTTACAAAAATTACATGATCGTTCTAAAGGCTTAAATGATTCAAATCCAAAAATGCAGCTGTTTTTGCCTTTCTTAACTAAATAATTGGCTGATTCTAATTTAGACTGCATCTACTGATTACATGTCCTCGCCACACGCGTCAAGAAAAATAACACCGGTCTCTCATAGCGATCACTGAATGCAAGTAGCGCGTTTGACGTAAATGAATCTGACCTTTGCTTTGCGTCAAATAGGTCGATTAAGACAGAAGTAAGGCTACTATTTGAACGTTGTCGATATGAAGACTGTAGCTCTTGTGTGTAACACCAATTAAAAGGAAGTCCACAACGCTTGCATTGCACCCAAGCACTTGTCAAAGAAACAAAATTTGAAAAGGTATTTATTGTATTGGCCAGCTTATTGCCTATACTTACTGCTGTTGGAATAACAATTAACACACTGACGAGATGGTCTTGACCATTTTGATGCAGTGGTGTTGCAATAGGTAATGAGCCCAACACCCAGTCTCTGCACAAGCCTCCGACTTCGCCTTTGCAATGGACTTAACGCCTTTGAGCCGTATGAGAAATGTCGACGGGACAACTTGCACTGAAAGTTTAAGATGCAAATGGTGCTTGAAGAACGAGATCCATAGGAAATTTTGAGAGGGAAGTGAAGGTCAAGCACTGTACCTCTCCGTTGGACTAAGCGATGTTCAAGCGGAAAAGTCACAAGGTGCTTGCAATCATCTGTTTCGCCATGAAAGATTTGCAGCTGCCTTTAGGTCGCTTGGTCGCTAGACAAGTGGTGCGCATGATGCCTGATCAAAGCTTGAGGGATACTTCGAGAAGAAGAGCCTTGCGTACAAGCTCTTTTTTTGTCGGCCATAACTACAATGACGGAAGAAGGCGACAGCGTGCTGAACCACACAAACAAGGCCAAAACTTCCACTGAACAACTCCAGGCGGTCGGTGCTTCAGTCAGCAAAGACGACGTTTGGATTACCTTACTTGCAAGTTTTAGGGATTCATTTCAATTTCTGTTCACTCAGCGTTGGAACGCTTTTAGAACCGCTGACGTGTGAGCTGTGACCTCGTGGTTACTCTACGAGGATAGAAAGCGCAAGTAGAAGGGAAGCGACGGAGGCGTGTCTGGTCAAGCACTTCTCATGAGAGAAATGAAGCATGAGGGCTATTTGGCGAAGAAGATCGGTACGTACTAAGTTTGTGGCAAGCAAGGACATTGGATAGTGGAGCGCAAAATTTATGCATCTAGAACGACGTTGAGCGCTGTCGATCTTAGCGTGCAATTTCACGCAGAACCAAGGCTCTGGCGATTGTTTCGTCTCGGTTAGCAGCTGTGTTTCTGCCAAGTCGGGCATGTGTGCCTGGTTGACTCGGGACCGATGCAGCAGGACAAGTACGAAGAAGTTCATAAGGAACTACAAGGTCTTTTTCCTGGAAGTGCATTTGGTGGACGACGGTGTTATCCAAGCCATTAGCAGTAATGACATTAAAATGACAATCAAGATTCAAGAAGGTTTTACAAGGTTGTGCTTCCTACGTGTGGTACATTTCTAAGTTGACGTGTGAGCTATTCTCAGTCGGTCATTTCACAAAGGGTGTTCGGTCGGTTAATTTCAACAAGCAAGGTTGTTTGGCCAAAAGAAAGGCATGAAATGGAAGATCTGTTCTCATGAGAAACAAGTTCTTACTAAGCTAATGGCACCAATACCTCGTGATGAAGACGTTTCCGCTAAATCGTTGGGTATATAGGATCACTACGTCCTACCTCTGACGCCTTCGACTGGTCGCGATGGACTAAGTGTCATTGCGAACAACGTCTTTACGGGAATAGTACGCCTGTGAACAGGTGGGAGCTTTGTAGTGTGTGCGCACTTGGAAAACAAACTTGCGTGCATTTCTACTTTGAATTGACGGATCAAGTCAGAACTTTGCGAGAAGTCGTGCGCAGTGATGTATGTGAACCAATGATAACTTTGTCGTTAATTGCAAAATGACTTTCCGTTACCTTTCCTGACAACAAGTCTTAACACTGTGCTGTCAACTCAATAGAAACGTTGGCCATTCTTTTGCACTCGCCGAGACTCAATCCAGCAATAATGTCGAGTCGTTTCGTTGCGACAGTGGGGTCGAGTCGTTTCGTTGCGACAGTGGGGTCGAGTCGTTTCGTTGCGACAGTGGGGTCGAGTACACTTCGGCGAAATGGACAAGTTTTGTGCGAATCGTGGAATTGCTGTGCTAGAATTCACTTTTTTAGCACAATGGTGTTGCTCAGCGCATGAATCGGATCCTGGTGGAAAGCATACGGTGCATAATAAAGCAAGCAGAGCTACCTACACATTATAGCGATGATGAGGCAGTTATGACGAAGGCATTTGTTTGCAACTCAATGTCCGACGCGCGCAGTGGAGCAACAATACATTTCACGAGCTTTAGTCCAAGCAACCACTGCTATCTAACCTCATATTGGTCGGATGCCACGCTTATGTCCATGTCCCGAAAGAGAAGCGATCCAATCTGGATGCAAAAGCCGAGTTTTGTACAATTCAGAACATCACAAGGCACCGTTTTGAAGAACGTTCGACTCGGGGTAAGCCAAGATATGGAAAACGTTATCTACGGCGAAAAATGCGACCTTGGCGACACAAATGATCTCTGTAACATAGATGATGGCAACGATGGACGGACGGCGACATGGAACCAGCGCAGAAAGGTGGGCATGTTCCTGCTAAAGACAATGGATTCTGGACAGGAGCCAAAAGGCTTACACGAACTCAGTCGCTATAACAGAAAGTTCAGACCCTAAAGGCAATGTGCCCGTGAATCGACGCTTTACATTCGACAAAAGTTGGCTTCTGCTTTAGATATTAATTTTGATAGTACAGCATCATGTGGATTGTTATCCTGGGAAGAAATGGCATCGCGCAGTGCCAAGCGATTCCTCAATGAGTCTGTGCAATTAATGATGAAATTATAAACAAGTCGCAACATTACTTTTCAAACTTATGAATCATTAACGGTTAACATTATGCAGCTTGCCAGCAAGCTTCACTAAAACAACCCCATTATTCTCCTAGGCTTCAGCATCTTTAATTTTCGTCATCCATAGGGCCATCGGTTACTGGTGACAATTCAGCATGACAGCCAATTACGCCTTGGAACGCATCTCATGTGGCGCCACAAACACCTTCAAAAAATTGCTGTCCTTTTTGGCAATACGAGAGTAGGCTTCGGGTACCTCTTCAAGAGCCAAGCGGTGAGAAATAAGAACCGATGGGTCCAGCTCTCCGCTCTCAATTGCGTCGAACACCTTAGGATAATATTTCTGCGCCGGAGTACGACCAGCGTGGACCGTCAGACTTTTCATTGCAACGTGGCCTATTGGGAACGACTCCACCGAGCACATGTAGTCGGACACGATCGAAATGTGGCCGCACTTGCGCGCAATCATCAGCATCTCCTTCAACGTATCTGCAGTCTCTGGCTTCTTCTCCATGCCAATAGTCTTTTCTAACGCAGCCAAAAAACCGCTTGATGATGAGCTGCCACAGGCATCAATCACCGCGTCGGCACCGGCCGGCGGTAGCATCTGCTGTAGCTTAGCCACCACCTGAGCGCTGGATAAATCGCGTCGATCAACTACCTCCAAGTTCATGTGATCATAAGCGAACTTAAGTCGTTCCGGGGAATGTTCGACTCCCACCACCTTCTTGGTACCGCGCAACTTGCACCAGTGCGCTGCCTGAAGGCCGATCGGGCCAAGACCCCAGATAACCACACTGTCACCCTCCTTCACCATTGCTGTATCTACAGCATGAAGCGCCGTTGCAGTCGTCTCCACTCCTAAAAGGGCCTTGTCGTCGCTAACACCTGATGGCAGCTTATAGCAGTTGACGTCAGCGTATGGCACCCTCACATACTCAGCCTGCACACCCGGAACGTTCCCTAGCATGCGGGTGCTTCCCAGCACAGCAGCGGGAGCCCAACCACCGTACTTCTGCTTGAACTCTTGAGATGCGTTCGTGCAATTGCATGCTGCGTACTCCTGGTGACGGCAGTGACGGCAATTTCCGCACGCCAGCACAAAGCTAACTGCAACGCGGTCACCCTCTTTCAGTTTGTGAACGTTTGCACCCACGCTATCAACAACGCCGACGGCTTCACTACCCAACACTTGGTCTTTTTCCAGCCCAGAACCATTTTCGCACACATCAGTGGCAAAGTCCGGGCTCACAGAGCACGCAGTTACTTTGACCACCACATCTGACGCTTCCATGATCTTTGGCTTCGGAATGTGCTCCAACTTGACGGACTTGCCCGTCCACACAACGGCGCGCATGCAGCCAGCCGAGTCCTTCGTGCACGAATCCTGGCCATGAAGGTGGGCACTTGATAGCATTTTCGTGGCGGTATCCATTAATTGCTTAACTTTCAGTCGCTCTGATGTCTGTTGCTTACGAAACTGCAAAAGCAAATATGACGTCAATGGTGGTGTTTCGCCAATTTTCAATTCTTGACAACTGTCTCGAGGCACGATGGCTCCTCGTCCCTGTAAAGTCAAGTTGAAGAACCGTACCATACGATGCGCAAGTAAATTAGATTTCGTTGTCAAGTAAATAGACATTACACGGAATAGTCCGCTTCCAGTTACTGTGAACGTTGAGAAGAAGAGAAAACTTGAGCGGCTGGAATACCGCAGCTTCTCAGGTAGATCCTGGTATTCATTTTTCGCAACTTGAAGTCGTTAGGATATTACACCAATCAAAGGAGCTTTCAGCGCTGAACTGTAATTATCCATTGAGGCAAACACGAATGTTATCGACAAAGAGAATGCCAGTTGAGAATGAAGAGAAGTAGAACACGATGCACCCTTGTGCACTCGTACGAGCGTTTCACTAATGACACTCGATTGACGGCAAACTTTTTGTAACGTTACAAAAATTCTTCAAATTCAAGAGTTCATGGTGGTAACTGTACTGCTTGCTATTCAACATCATGTGCACATGAAGTGATTGCTGCTGCATATCGTTTTTTTGGCCTTATACGTAGTTATAAACAGTGTCAATGGTAGCAACAATGATATTCTTCTACCTACAGCTGCTCTCGGAGCTACCTTGCGGTAGACCCGATCAAGAATAAAAGGATGCGTTAGAAAAGTTATGGGAGATGTGATCGAAATAATACTTAAACAAAACAAACAGGAGGAAATATAACTTGCCTTTGCACTTGTCAAGTAAAAAAAATTTGTAAGTTACAATTCTAGTCATTCTCTTGTTTCACAGAACTTCCTATTCCAGCAAAATTTGGTCTGTCCGACCTTCGAGTCTTTTTTACATCGAGATTTAGAAATCGTACTTACTGATATAAAATACCGATGCATATCAATGTTGCGTGTAGGTTGCTAGATGGCGTTTTCACCATTACCCAGCAACTGACGGGCAACTGTTGGTCTGCTTGGAGGTGAGCTAGCCTCAAATGATTTTCAAGTTTGCAGCGTAAGAAGTAGACCCCCCCCTATTGAATAAAATGACTCTCCGCCGTGTATTAGCTTTCAACACCAAGGCCGTTAAGACTACTTCAAGCATCTTACGCCGCTCTATGACTACTACCGCTGATACAATGACCGTACGTGACGCACTGAATACCGCTTTGGATGAAGAGCTTGCGCGTGACGAGGAGGTCTTTTTAATGGGTGAAGAGGTCGCTGAGTACAATGGCGCGTATAAGGTCTCGAAGGGATTATGGGAGAAGTACGGGGACAAGCGCATTATTGACACGCCCATTACGGAACAGGGATTTACGGGCCTAGCCGTTGGTGCCGCTTATCACAATACAAAGCCTATAGTTGAATTTATGACGTTTAATTTTGCTATGCAAGCGATTGATCAAATTATCAACTCAGCTGCTAAGCAGTTTTACATGTCCAACGGTGATATCGGTGTACCCATCGTCTTCCGTGGCTCTAATGGTCCCGCTGCCGGTGTTGGTACGTATGTTTGACTCAGTTTTGTACATCCATTGCGCTATCAAATCACTTACTTATTTTTCTGTTTACTGTTTACGTTGTAATGTTTTCAGCTGCCCAGCACTCGCAATGCTATGCCGCGTGGTACGGCAGTGTGCCCGGCCTCAAAGTGGTATGCCCTTATGACTCGGAGGACGCTCGTGGTTTACTAAAGGCTGCTATTCGCGATCCCAACCCCGTTGTCGTGCTGGAGAATGAGCTCCTCTACGGTGTCTCTTTCCCTGTGTCTAAAGAAGCTCAGGACAAGGACTTTACGATTGAGATTGGCAAGGCCAAGATCATGAAATCGGGAAAGGATGTCACGCTGGTGGCCTTCTCCCGCATGGTGGGTGAAGCATTGGAAGCTGCTGCTGTTTTGGCAAAGGAGGGCATTGACGCCGAGGTGATCAATCTTCGCTCGATTCGTCCGTTCGACCGTCAGGCCATCATTGACTCGGTGAAGAAGACCAACCGCATAGTATCCGTCGAGGAGGGCTGGGGTCAGCATGGCGTTGGTGCCGAGATAGCTGGCATCATTATGGAGACTGAGGCCTTTGACTATCTGGACGCTCCTCTGGAGCGTGTGACGGGTACGGATGTGCCCATGCCATACGCTGAAAACCTGGAAAAATTGTGCCTTCCACAGGTCGATGATATTGTTGCGGCTGCCAAGCGCACAGTGGCGCGCAAGCTCTAAGCAAAGCTTGTCAGAAATTGAAGGTAAAAGCTACGACGACGTCAGCGTTGCTGCCTTGCTTGGTCTGGTCTCAAGAAGTCTCTATGGGCGAAAGATTAACAATCTTTCCGTAACGACTACGTCTCGAGAGGCATCGTGTGCGAGGTAGAAAGAGTAGCATGGCTGACAAGTAGGAAGATTAACGAATCAGGCCTGATAGACAACAGTGCGCAAGTACACCCATGTTTTGATGTTTTTCGGTCTTGCATGTAGCACCCCTTCATAGAGTTAGCTTTCTCTTGATGTAATTGTTGACCTAAAATATCTGCTTGGTTCCCATCTCTGCTATAGCTTAAAAGCCAAACTCACCAAAAAAGTCGACATCTTTCTTCGCCTTCTTGTCTTTTACGACACAAGCTGGAGGTGGTGCTGCGGCAGCAGCTGCTGAGCCACTGCTACTTGTAGCAGACGCAACAGACAAGGAAGAAAGCCCAAGTAGATCGTGATTGCTACCATCGGTACTGAATGATGATGATCCAAACATGTCAGACGTCCGAGTTGGCTTAGGCTGCTGCGATGGTGCGTGGAAACTACCACTACTGGTGTCGGAGATGTTGCTAGCGCTGCCACTGAGCTGCGAATCCAACCACGAGTTGTTGTCATGATCACGACTTGTACTGCTGTTACCACTGCCAATACCTGTGTACTTGCTGGAAGAAGGAAGCTCACAGTTAGTGCGAGGGAAGGTGCTACTCATACCAGATGAATCGCCATTCGAAATGACCTTTCCGTTTACTGCAGATTGCGCGCTTTGCAAAATAGCGGAAGCGCTACTGGAAAGCACTGACCAACCAGATGTGGCAGAAGACTTAACATTGTCGGTGAGTGCCGGGTCCTGGATAGCGCTCTGCACGTAAGACCAGCCCGACGACACCTTCGATCCTAAATCTTGGTCTTTCACAAGGCTGGCAGCCGAGCTAGCGGCCGTCGTGACTGTACTGGTTATGTAGCCAAAAGCACCCGATAAATCTCCTAGACCGCCAGGCGAGGCCTGAGGCGCCCGCGTTTCACCGCCACTTCCAATGCCTTGCATACCGTTACTGCCAAACTTAGCAGCCATGCGGGCACGAGCCTCTTCGCGCAGCTTTGTCTGACGACTAACGTAGTCCTGCTCCGACTCGCCCTTGAGCGCCTCAACGCCACGCGTACCGTTTCCAGCTGAGCCGCCACCAGGGTACGAAGGAGAAGAAAAGGAAGAAGAAGCCGATTTGTTATTGCTCGTATCCCACCGAGGCAGCGACCGCGGAGCGCGCCCTTCGACAATGTCTGTCAAACGCTGGCGATAGGCCTCCGCCTGTGGCGTATTGTACTTCTCATTGATAGACAGATCGGTGGGAACTCCAGCAGCAGAGAATGCTGCACGAAAAGAATCGTTTCCTCCCTTTTGCATCTGCATTACCTGCTTATCCGTCCATGAATCCATCGTGACAGACCTCACGAACGAAATATGCACACCCAATCCACGGTGACGACCGGAACACTCAAGACACATAAAGGTGCCGTACGAAACGGTTGCCCATTGAGGATATGGGGCATTACAGTCCACACAATGCTATAAACATACAAAATTGGTATTAGTCAGCTGCCATTTACTCCTCTAAGATTAAAAAGTACTTTGACATTTTACGGGCGTACGTTGTTTCCCGGCAGACGTCGCAGCTCTTGTTGGGTTTCCATAGGCATTTGATGCGCCATTTTATATAACGTTCTTTCTTACTACTATAATTGCAATATATAAGACAAGAAAGAAAGGTTATACGAGTTACGTTGCAATAGCCTCATACATGCGACGTACGTACAAGATAGCGTAATCACGGCAGAGTCAAACTGCTACTGAACATTCATGTAGATAGTAAGTGGTTAAAAATATCAATCAAATCAGCTAATCACAAACTGCCAAGAAGTCAAGAAAGCATACATAAAAGTGGCATCAAGTTTCATTTCATGGCAATAAGCTACTGCGGCCGCTTAAGAATTTGAAAGATTAGTAAATTGAGTCCAACAAAGCTACCAAGAATTAACGCCATATAGGTCGCATAATTCCCGTATCTGCGACCGCATATCATGTACCATGAGTCCTCGTATAGCAATTGCGTCACCGGGTAATTGCACAAATTAAATTCCTCATCAAAGTCTTGCACACAGAGATACTGCTTCCGATGGTGTTTCATGCCAATAAGAGAGTAGAACGACTCATTTTTGAGACAGTTTCCAAGTGGTTGGTGGTGGCCCAATGACACAATCTCAATGGGATTGATAAACAACACCAGTAGCACTAAGATAAAATAAAGCAGGAACACCATCTGGTTCACGGCATGATCAATGCACGAATACAACCAGTCACTATCGTAGGCGTCCACGGGCTCCAATGTTTGATATACATCAGGTGAGTCTACAAACGATAGCAAAAAATACAATTATCGCATCCATCTCGCAAAACTATGAAAGCTTAGAAGTCGTACCACTCACACGATCAGCCATCCAGACAAGGAGCAAGCTCAACCCGATTAACATGAAGAAGGCTACCTACATGATTGGAAATAAAAGCTTATTTTACCTCTCTTTTGCAGCAAAACAAGTTCGCCGACAACAAACCTGCGCTTGAATTCCCATAAGGTGAACGGTTGTATAGTAGACCAAAGCGAGGAAGCCAGTAGCAATAAATGTGGTGACAAGCGGCATCAAAAAGACATAGCCCCACTCTGACTTCCAGTTTTGTTCTTCGTAGTAGTTGCCTGCAAGCCAAATACTAAAATAACCACCACAAGTTAGCACGCACAATACAGTATAACAGCATTCTTTTGGCCAAGCTTTTTCTACAAGCAACTACCTCACCTGCGCATAATGAAGTGCGTCCATCGGAATGCAAATGCAAAGAAGTAATTGTAGAAGAGTGCGTGACATGGTACGCCCATCAAACGGTCAGCGAGGAGCGGGTCTGTGTCGTGCCACGTCCACCAAAGAAACTTGGTGCCGAGCAGCTCAAATGGAAACACCAACATCACCATTAACAGTCCAATTACAAATGGCTGAGCGATTGGATCAATCCGCAGTCGCAAAGTCGCAACAAATGCTCTGATAACGCATTGGCCAAAAAAAACGTCACGTGATCATGCTTAATGCTTCATAATAGCTTTATCAATTCCATACCACACACTCACATGTAATACAGCTGAGCATGAAGTAGCACAACATACAGTGGCAAATGTTTGGACATGAGCATCACTAGCGCTTGTGCGTGCCAGCGGTCGCTGGAATAGAAAACCAGCTCAACGATGAGAACTTGAAGAATCGCAGCAACTAACATGGTGGCGTTGCGCTTGCCAGAAGAATGTACATGAAGCATAAGAAGAAAGAAACTAAGATATGTGGTTCCTTCTATCGTCGCCAGCGACATATTTTCTTTCAGTAGCCCCAGGAAGGCGATTGGCATAACGAGCGACGTCGCCACCATTGTTGTCGGTCAAAACTATCAAATAGAGAAATTAAAGAAAAAATTGGTTGTGGTTTTTTGAATTAATGAGATGTGGATTGTAACATAACTACAAGTGACCAATTTATTTGCTCACATGGACTTTCCGACGTCGGAAACGTCGCTTTTGTCTACACCGGACATTAGTGAAATGAAGACTCGATAGGCTGCGAATAGAAGAGCACAAAGGAGTATGCATAAGAATGTTAATACCCGCAATCCAGAGACGTTTCGAGTCATTGGCCGCTTAACCCCATCAGGTGCGCCGCCGCGATTAAACACAAAACTCTCGACCTTTTCCTTCCATGTCTCGGCGTCCTGGCCTCCAGTGTCTTCAATCTCCTGCTGAATGTATTCTTTTTGCTCAAAGTCCTTGGGTATGTAGCAAGTTCGACCCTCGTAATTGTTGCCGCAAGAGCACATGCCATTCACACAATCGCCGTGGTTACTGCAATGTTCACGATACACGCACACAACTGCGCGGTCGGATACAGGATAATCTTTCAAATTAGAGTACCCACTAGAAAGTGATTTTAGGTACCGATCAAATGCGATGTCGTACTCGGAGAGTTCAGTGTCCATAAACTTGGACAATTTTTGCTCCAACGACGGATAAACAAGGTTGAAGCTGCCACGTCGAGCATACTCAGTGGATGCGGCAAAGAGTTTGCTCGCAACATTGGGTGCGAACCACCCAGGGCAAGACCAGCAAGAAGAGTCCCACACACGGTTCTTGTCATGACATTTATCCCGGCAGAAGGTAGCGTCAGGGTGGAAAATTTTTTCAAACGGGGTCCTAACTTGAGGATGCACGCCCACAAGATTGATAAAATCATACAGCAGCTGCTTTTTGATCGCTTCGTCAGTAGCAAGTACGGACTTCGTGGCTTCCATTGATGGGCTCGAAACCACACGAATAAGCCATGGCTTGCCCATACTGTCGAACTCAAAGTCGAACTTGAACATTTCAAAAAAACTGTCACTGATATCTGACGGACTGCCTCCCTCTCCTTCACGTGCAGTGCCACGCTTCACCTTGGCTTGTTCGCTCTTGAAATTACCTCGGCTACTAAGCACCACTTTGGCGATGGCAGCATCCACATTGTCCTGCAAACGCTTCGTGTCGATTCCTTGTTTCCGCAAGTAACGCTTCAGAATATCCCATGCATTTGCTCCTTCTCTAGTAGCCGATGGCAGTTCTTGAAATTCTGCCTGCAGGTCCGAAAAATCCCACGGAGAAATGTACTGGTCAAAATTGTAGGCGGCAGGATCAGTCTCTACCTTCAATTTGCTTGGATATTCAACCTTGGCAATCCGGATCAGTGGATGAGCGTACACGTACAGACGCAGCGGGTCGATAGAAGTTACCGCTACGTAAAATCCGACACAAAACTTGTGGCCGTCAACCAGCAGTGGCTCGACGTATTGGTCCACCACTAGTGTCTTCCCCTTGAACGCACTTGACTGCATTTTTAACTGCAAGTCTTCGTCTGTGACGAAAACCTCAGAACGAGTGATTGAGTCCTCAGCTCCGCTAGCAGCGCGTTCACGCAGCAAGAAGCGCCGATGAACGTGCGGGTCATAACTACGACTAGGTGACAAGTCAGATTTCTTGCGCGCCTCTATATACGCTCTACTCAGCTTTTCCATGTCACGTGGTAGCTCATAGTGCGCCGGCATGAAGTCAAAATAGAACTTGACATGCTTTTCCTGTTGCATAATCAAATGATGGCTTAATGCATCAGGCGATGTGAGCTGCTCGGCCCCTGGCAGACGGTTCACTTTCGCGTCAAACTGGTGTGGAAGAATTAGCTCAGAAAATGGTGCAGCTGTACTGACACTCCACACAAGGTCAAAAGATGCGCTTTCAGTCGAGACTTTTTCCCATGAAGCTTGACTGTCTGAAGCTAAATACTGAAAAATACCTAGCGCTTCCAGCTGCTGCACCACTGGCTTAATCTTTTGCTCTTGCGGTGTTTCAGGAAGGTAGAACCATGCATGAGGGCGTATGGTTGCTACGGCGCCGACGTTGGTACATGGGATAAGCAGTAGCAGATCCAAAAGTGCTTTATGACGTCGCCGTGGAGATATTGTCATTCTTTTCGTGAAAAAACAAAATGTTTGAATAACGGCTACAAATGTGAGAAAAATCTATCAGCTAAGGTTATATAATAATAAGCTCAAAGATTGTGGCTGAAAATTCATTACAAAAAAACAACATTCGACAGTCATGAAGGTCCGCTCCTCGGTGAAGCGCATGTGTGATGGATGCAAAGTTGTTCGTCGACGAAGAAAAGTATATGTGATCTGCGATCGTAGTCCCAAGCACAAGCAGCGTCAGGGATTTCACACGAGCGCATTAATAGCTCCCGCTTCGCATGACTCGTCTATGGTTTCGACCAACGCGAGCTTCCAGACAATTCTCAAGCAGCTGCAGTTTCCAGGTCTCGCGCATTTCAAAGCCTTTCGTGACGCCATCGTCCAGATTCCTAAGATCTGCTAGATGAATATGAGAATCGCCCTGGATACATACAGCACATGTGATGGATGGATGGTATTGACGACTAGCACTACTTGCCTCAGCTCAGATATAAACATGAGATAATCACATTACGCTTTATCCGATGAATGAGTGCTGCTAATTACATACTACAATGTATGTCAGATGAACGTGATGGCCATTATCAGCGCTGTCTGTCGTCATCTCCATACAGACAGGTTTATGTATACTTTACGAAGGCAGTTATAACATAGACGTATAGTTTGATAAGTTACTGCTGACCTGAATACTAGTATTTAACAATTAATAACAGTAGACTATAACGATGACGGAGGATGTAAAAGTGACAGCGAAGAATGCTAAAGGGCGGATTACGGCGAAAACCAGGTTTAAGACAATGGACAAGAGTAAACAGAACGCGAAGATCAAGAATACTCTTGCCGAAGATGGCGGCTGTGAGGACCGTCCATTCGTGGTACGCTTTTTGACAGTGGGCGTGGCATCATATCTGGCTCAAAAGGTTTGGACGAAGCGAAAGATGATGACACACGGCTGGTACACGGAGGAGATGACAGAGACGGAGATTATAATGGTGATAGTCTTTGAGTACATGAGCTCCATGGGACTTATCTTTATCATCGGTATTGTCGTAGGTAAAGTTGTTAACATGGTGGCCAAATGGGTAAGGGGTATCGCGTGCCAGCGATATAACAATCGAGTTAAGAGCGCGGAGTCGTGTACATCCATGTCTGCAGATACAGCATTTATGTGACACTGAAAAGAAGCCTGTACAGCTCAAAGTGCTTTAAACACCACAGAAAGGAGCTTTTAATAATAATAACAACAGAGGATTGTTGTATTCTTTTGTGCATAGTATAGAGTAAGTGCAATCCTAAGTACGCCCTTTTTCAAACTTCTAAAACGTCACATAGAATGGCTCCTAGTCGGCGACGCCTTGGCCGCACACTCCGTCGTTATCGTCGTCGCAGTGCCACCAATGGCAGTATTAGTATTCGCTCAACAAATGGAACTGGACCTTTGCAAGTCATTAATGAGAACACTGTCGTAGAACTCACTGAAGATGAAGCGTTTGACAGCAACTCGCGCTTTGGTTTCTCGCCCACGACGCTGGCAATTGCATCACCAAAGAAGCAGAAGAATAAGAAGAGGAAGACACACAAGAGACGACGCGAATCTGTTATCGTTCAATCCGAGAAGAAACGTTTACAGCACCTGGAAACGCTCCTAGATGAGCTGGAAACGCAAGGTCAGAGCAAAGTTTTTGAGTTGTTATTGCGCTATTAAATGCTGACCTTTCTTTCTTTGCTTCTTGCTTTTCTTTTAGTTCAGGAAAAGTGTGACGAGTTGGTGGTGGATGCAGAGAGACGTGCGCAAGAGCTGGAGGTAGAGCTTAAGATGCAACTGCTCATCGTGCCAGCTGCTGTGCGGCAGATGCCCTGGGAAACCTTCGTAAAGGACTTTGGAGGAGATTTGCACAATGCTATTAGCAGCTTGTCCCATTCCCAGACGTCTCCTCTGTGTTTAAAGTCTTCTGTAGCTCGACATGACATCGTTGATGCTACGCCATGCACCGTCGCGGTCCGTGCAAGAAGCGACGAGGATGGCGACAACGATACTAGTCACGACTCAGACGATCACCGCCTGTCGTTGTATAAGACACCCTTAGATGGACGTTGGATGAAGACACTCCCACACACTGTTTTGCGGACGGCACGCAAGGGAGAAACTACGTATTCAGTTCGAGGTTCCCCTATCATTCCCGATACTGTGGCAAAGGCGCCTGCTGGATCATTGATTGCTACTTTTGAAAAGGGTTTGGAACCAACAACTTGCTTGCGGCTTGATAGTGAGCGTGTTCTTAACTTATCTCAGCCAGAAGAATTGTCAGCAAAGTCGCGCAGAGAGGCTACTACTAAGTTAAAGGCACTTCAGGCCAAGGTCGCACAGTTATTACGACAGATCAACCCTTGCGCTCAGTAACGTGGCACCTAAACGCAGGTACTGTCTACGCTGGTATTGATGAGTACATCAAAGTAAATGAACCACAAGCTTGCACTTCCGCTCGTCAAGAGAAACCGAACAATGTCGATGATTATGGATGCTGGTGTTTAGACATTTCTTGGCGCATTTATTAGTTATACAACCTCTCGTCGGGGCTTGTTTAAGCGCAATATGGCCTGCAAAGACTTTGGTCTTTTCGTCTGTTTGATGGTGGCAACGTTGCGCCAAATGAAACAAGTCCCAGCCCGGCTTGATCATACACCATGCTTAAACATAGCGTTGTTTACTTCAGCCACTCTGCCATACTGGTCAGTGGCATGGCCAGTTTTTTCATCAGTCGACGGAGTGAGCCATGCCGTCGTTTTTGCCTTCTTCAGCTCAGCTCCATGACATAGCTGTTTCTGATGCACTGATACATTTGGCGCTTTTTGTACTTGTGCAGGATGGATGTGTGCGGCTGTACTAAAGACACCTTACTACATGTTTGCAAGCGGCTACTTGGGACAAATAATGATTATTTCAACGTCTTTGGCAAGCGGGGAAGAATTTCTTCCCCTCGGGTCCTCCAGAGGTTAGATCGACCCACGCGCCTTGCTTGTTGTTGCCAGAGCTGTATTGCTCACATTTGGTTAATTTTTCTCACAGGCTTTCGCAAAGTCCTGGAGCTTAAGAAGTTGTCGTATTTGGTGATTGACAGACCACGGGTTCAGGTTTCTCAGACAGCAAGTGATGGCATGACAAATATGATTGAAGGTGTTTGAATACGTTCACAATAATGTCTTGATGAATTTGTTGTCGACCCCAAACAATGCGCTTACTTCCAATTTGACATCATCTCGCTTTATTACTTTCTCGAGTCTCATGTCTTCTTATCTTCATCCAGCATCACGACTGCCCTAAAAACAAAATGAACGACGAAAAAGTTGTGAGAGTGCCATTGTACGTCGCACCACAATATCGTTGCGCTACTTGCAAGCTTGTTGCGCTACTTGCAAGCTTGTTGCACTTTTTAGCTTTACTATGTTGAATTTCGTTGACTTAATGTCATTGTCGGAGACGTAAAGTAAACTGCTTTCCGCAACACACGATTAAATCCCTCGTCACCGACATGTGAAAATCTCAAAAACTCAAAAACCAATTTCGCGTGAAAACACGTGAACGTAGCATAATCTGCTTAAGATACTAATGATGACTGGTACTTGCAACCGTCATCCGGGCCATTTTCAATCACCGATCCGGCTGTGGGCCCCGTTGAGGAGGCTGTTGCTGATGCTGTTGATGCAACTGCTGCTGGAGGATACGCTCGCTGGGAGGCACAGCAGATCGTTGCTGCTGCTGTTGCATGAGCTGCAAGTGGTGATGGAGTGCTTGGTGCTGCTGCAGTTGCTGCTGGTGAAGCTGCTGGACTTGGTGCTGCTGCGGGACTTGGTGCTGCTGCTGGTACTCATGGTGGTGCTGATGTTGGTGCTGTATTTGCTGGTGGTGATGCGCTTGAAGCTGATGCTGCTGAAGTTGCTGATACTGCTGCTGGTAAGCTTGTTGCTGTTGTTGGGCTTGTTGCTGCTGTTGAGCTTGCTGCTGTTGAGCTTGCTGCTGTTGAGCTTGCTGCTGTTGAGCTTGCTGCTGTTGAGCTTGCTGCTGTTGAGCTTGCAGCTGTTGAGCTTGTTGCTGTTGAGCTTGCAGCTGTTGCGCTTGTTGCTGCTGGGTTTGCTGCTGTTGGGTTTGCTGCTGCTGAGCTTGCGGCTGAGCTTGCTGCTGTTGAATAGCACTGTTGTACCGAGCCATACTAGCTGCCATGTCCAAAGCTTGCTGCCGTGCTTGCTGTGCTTCTTGTAGCGCACGAGCTGCAGCAGCGGCGGCAGCTGCTGCTCGAGTAGCCTCTTCCTCCGCGCGTTGAGCTCGCCGCAGCAACTCAGCTTCTTCGAAGCGAATTTGCGGTGCGTAGTTCCACATCTGTTGTTGGGCGGGTGGTGCGTTTGAAGTCACGGACGAAGAGGAAGACGCTGAGCCACTACGTGACAGTACCACGGCCGATACGTTATTTGAGTACGATGTATCCCCCCTACATGATGCCCTCGAAGTCATTTTCTCACTTGAATTTGTATGTGCTACCGTAGATGACACCGTTGATGACGCCGGCAAACCGCTTACCATCGACACAATTGCGCCACGCGACCCTGTCCCTGCAGTATCTGCACTGCTTGCATCGTAGTAGTGAGCTGACTGCGTCTGATGATGCAGTGCTTTCTGTTGATGTAGGTGTCCAGGTGTTAACATCCTGCGCTCAGGTGATGATGGCACATTCAAAAGGCTCGACATCAAGCCCATCCGATTGTGCGCAGTTGATATGGTAGATCTTCTTGGCAAAAGGTGAGCAGTCGGACTTGGAGCAGAACTTGGAGATCGAGCTAAGTCAGCAGAAGATGCTATCGTGCGTGCATGATCCAAATGAAGTGGTGGCTGACGTCGTTGATGTTGCTCACGTTGTTGCTGCTGGTCTCGCTGTTGTCGGTGCTGTTGTACAGACATGCGAGGTGATTCTTGCTGTCGAATCATCATGGACCCGTTCCCTCGAGGAGTGGCGTCATCCCGCGGCGACTCAGACTCGTTTAAAATGGATGAAAACGACATCCGGCTACGAACAGGCTGTGCTGGAATCGGTACTGGTGGTGCAGATGCTTCTCCGCCATTCAGTGCATTGTCTTGTAGTATACATGAAGCAGGGCTGGCCAAGATGTCTTCACTTTTAAATTCCGCACTAGGAGACGACGCCAGAGCTGAGTGCCACGCAGATGGTTGTGGCTCCATTTCCTGTGGTCTGCTTGTTTCCATAGCCATTGAGCAAGACTGAACCATCGGCTGGCGTGGGCTACTGGAGGTAGCACCTGTAAGCATTGCACTACTATTCCCCCCAATTACATTCTTCATCATGGCAATATTCATCAACGAACGTTGAGCAGCATCATGATGTCCTATCATGACCGACGAGCTCTCAGCATTACCCCTTGCCAATTCACCTCCATCCACCGCTGCACTTATGCTGTAATCTACTACTCTGTCGTACTGTTGGGCGCTTGTTGGAGACATGTTCATTTGCGCTCCTAAAACTATCGTTTGAGGGTGCTGAGCTTGCAAATGTCCTATGGACTGATACAAAGTATTCTGATGCCCCATCTGATGTTGCTGTTGCATCGAAAGTTGCATCATTCGACTGTGCGCCTGGTTTTGCGGGTGAGCCTGCAGTCCCAATTGCTGCAGCGCTTGCATCGATAAGTGCTGTGGAGAAACTTGATGCTGTTGCTGACGAGAAAATTGATACAGCCGCTGCGCATTTGCTGTTTGCATTTGACTTTCATGATATGCATTGTTACTTTCCATACCCCCACTTTCTGACACCATTCCTTGCGATTTCTGCTGTTGCTGGAATTGCATCATCTGCAATTGATGTTGCATATTCAGCAGCTTCAAATAACGCTCCGAGTTGGATGCCGGGTTCATCATTTCACGAGACTGCTGCTGTTGGTCCTGATGACCCTGTATACCAAACTGGTCGCCGTGTATCCCTGGCTGAGCTGCGCTTAAAGCAGCTTGAAATGACATGCTCACATCACTTGCGTTCATTGTCATTGATCCACCCGGCATTCCCACTGAGAGAGCTCCGGGGAGATCAGCTGGGTGGCCCATCTGTCGCAACGTCCCGTTCATTAAACCAGCGGCGGCGGACCGAGGTGATGCAATACTATTGTTACTCGCCGCTGCTGATGTAGACACTGCATGTGATACACCTTTACCACCTCCGCCTCCACTGGAAGCCGCGTTCTCAATCCGGCGCTTCAAAATATCTTGCAGATTCAGCCGATTCTTGTAGTTTTGATAATAATTTTTGATCTGAGCGGCGGTCTTTGAAGGAATGTTTTCAGTAAGTGTCGTCCAATCTTTCCCATATTGCTTTGTACAAAAAACAGTATATATCGTTAGATTTTATTACCAGACTAAAGAAATGAAAGAACGTACCGAAAAATATTTCAAAAAATCTGCCTTTTCTCCTTCAGTCCACTTCTGCACCACGCGCTTCGCTGGAGCTGCTGTGTTGGCGTTTTTCCCGCCATTTGCAGCATTCGATGATGGCGACGAGATTTGTGCATTCGTATGAAACGTCGTACTACCGCCAGACACTTTTTTTCGTTTCTACTCCAGTAGGAACAATGACCGATATATTTGATAGCCCTGTTGCCGGCATCGCAGTGGGCTTCGGAGACGCATTCACAAGATTTGATTGCAAACAATTGTTTCGGCGCACACCTGGAGTACTGCCTCCACTTCGACTCGATTTCTTGCCACTTTGACCAAACTTTTCTTCTCCTGGAATTGTAATACGAGGGGTGCCACGATTGTTCGTCAAACAACTTGGCACTGACAAAATACTTGTAGCATTTTTCTTCTTGTGGCTTCCGGCTTTCTCTCCACCTGCACCTCCAACAGCGTGCGAAGAAGAAAGCGCAGTTGTTCCAGTCGTCACCTCAGCAGCTCCCTCCTGCGTCTTTTTCATTTTTCGCTGCTGTTTCAATTCCTTTGTCGTTATATTAGTACCACCATTCTTCAGGGTCACTTGTGGCCCGGCTGCCAAACTCTGTTGCTTGCCCTTCGTAGCTTCTTGGTACGTGTTAGCAGAGCCAATTCCCACCACCACACCTACACCAGACTCTAACTCCTTGCTCGGGTGCGGATACTTCTTCAACCGTTCCTCTACAGATAGGGTTGAGACTTCGTAACCCGTGCTGTACGAGTTGTCAGTAAGTAGCGACGTGTAATCTACTAGGAATGGCCGTTGCTGTCCTGCTATGAATTTTTCCAGCTGCTGGGTATACAAGCTAAATTTCTCTTCGTCCGAAGTATCGGATTTTCCCGAATAAACAATATCGTTCAGCTGTTCTTCCACTAACAACCGGGCCGATGACGTGTGGTTTGTCCCAGATACCAAATCCAACGCAGACAAAACTTCAGCAGAAGCATTAGTGCTTCTTAAGCTGTTGCTGTTAGTTGTTGTACGAGTCTCCTCTACCTTTGCTGCAGAATCGCGCAAAAGACGCCGAGCACCCGCTGAATTAAGAATATTATCAGAGGCTTGGTGAGAGCGGAAATTTGAGGAATGCAATAACAGCTTTGCAACGTGCTCTGGGAACTGAACACCAAGACAAATTGCTGCGCACGCAGAAAGGTTCCAGCAACTCCACGTATTCTTCGATCCTGCTCCACGGCGCCTTAATTGCTGCTCTCGGAGCAGCGCTTTATAATCGGCCACCTTTTTAGTTCGATAATAGAATGCGACTACATCTCCGGTAGACTTGTTGCTCAAGAACGATGATATTTGCGGAAAGTTTTTCGGGTATTGCAGAAACTTGTCCATGTATATGCACTTCTCCAAGTCGTTCCATGGGTTCACTTTCATCTCTGCTTTTTCCTTCAGTTTCCAGTCCGTCACTATCCCATCGGCCATACTGCTTTGACAATTAACAAGTCTTGTGAAGCAACGCTCTTGTCGATCTTCGCTTGTCATCAACATGTCTGGAATTAGAGTTGATAACGCGTTTTTCAATCGTTTCTTCCGAATATCCTGGTCAATGAGAGCCTGTGCCATAGCGTGCTCGATCGTCTCTAAGTCGTTGTTTTCCAAGTCAGCACAAGAATTGTTCGTTAACCGAGACGAAGTTCGCACAGTTGTGCTTTCGCCAGCAGCTTCAGCTGCCTTCTCAGCTGCGACCAGTTGTTGGACGTGAGGGCTTTGATGAATTGTATTTGTTGTCCGGATAGGTCCACTTTCTTCCATATGTTCCAACTTTTCTTTATGCAACTGCTTCAGGCGCAGTTTCCCGTGGCGTTTTCGATCCTTCTCAATTTTCTTTATTCCCACCTTCCAAGACTTCTTCAGATCTATGTATTCCCGTGCCAGTTTCTTCAAGTATTTATGCCGAGCACGATTTCGCATTCGCACTCTCAAGCGCACTTGATTAGAAAGCGCTGATCCACGATCAATATTCTCCTGGTAAAACGGGTAGTCACTAGGCTGATGATATATTTTTGTCGCTATGCGACCTTTCTCGGTTCGCGACGGAAGCTGTTCGTTTGCAGCGGTTCTTTTGCGTAAATTTTCCGAGAACACGCCTGCCAGCAGCTCTACAAATTTCGAATCCACCGCTACTTTCACGGGAGACATGGAGAAGCGTAAAGCAGACAAAACATCTGTAGGCAAGACTGAATCTTTCTTCGTTACCCCAGGTGTTGTGCCATCCAGTTTTGGCGAGGCAACCGTATCAGCAGGTTTACCCGCCACCACAACCTCAGTATTGGCTGACACGCCAGTTGACTTCTGCTTTCCCTCTGCATTAGCAATCGTTTTCTGCAGCGCCTCGATCTGTTTCTTCACACCTGCAATGTCCGAGTCCAAAATGTCGATAGTAGAAAGAACTTTTTCTTTTGAAGGCTTTGCAGAAGCAACATTATCGTTCCCGGTAACGCTACCCTTCACCGACTTTGCATGGTCAATACTTCCTGCTTCATTTACTACTGTCACAGCAGACTCATCGGCCGTAACTGGCTTCACGTTTTTAGGTGTTGAACTTTCTTGATTTAGCTCATCGACAACACCCGCCTCCTGATAAGAATCACCATTGATGGCGGGATCAGTCTCTACTGCTTCAGCTTTTATTGATGAGTATTCATCATCTTGGAATGTAGCATTCGTTTGCCCAACCTTCGCATTATCGTCGCGAACAGATGTATCATCTTCGTCCAAAACTGCACTTGCAGCGTTCTTGGACTTGTCACCCTTTTGCTGCACTAAGCCCTGGCCCCATCCAATACGTGGCCGCTTTGCAGGCTCTGGTGGTGAAGGTGCAACAAGACCTTGCCCCCAACCTAACCGTGGACGGTGCCGCTTCGTCGGCGTTCCTTCTCCCAAATCCATAGGCGAAGAAATCGCCCGAGCTCCACCACGTGGAAGAGGGATGTTTGGTAGAGATGGCAACTCCTCCCTCGCTTTTACGCCCAATTTGTTTTCTGCAGGCAACTGTTTCAAGCCCTGTATTTGGTCACCTATCGATAATGATTGTCGGTCACCTATCGATAATGATTGTCGGTCACCTATGCTGTTTGCTAACCCCGTCAGAAGCACTTCTCTTTTCACCGCTTCTTCTTTCGTAGTATCATCACAAAAACCTTCTCTTCGGCCTTCTACAGTGCTATTTGAAGAGACGTACTGCTTTAAAGATGGCTTGGAGTTGAGGGTCAACGACGTTGGCCGAGAAGTCGTACAACCGCTGGCGTTTTCAGAATCCTTTCCAGTCTTCAGCGACGGATGGTAGTAATGTTCCGGGAGCGTCACGTAAGATGAAGTACGATCAAGTGCAGGGCCTCCACTAGGCTGCGGCGAATGTTTGCGGGTCAAAAGTGACGGAACATCACTCTGTTTAAAATTCGTTTCTTCTATTCCTGCATGGACCGGCGTCAAGAAAGACGCTGAATCGTCGCAATTAAGACCATTGCCGTCTTCATGAGCACTTTCTTCGCGCTGACTACTATTTGGCAAGCCAAACAACGAAAACGAAGTAGATCCAGGCTTACTGTGGTCATTTAAAACTGCCAAAGATATCTCAGTTATGCTGTGTTCCATTTTTGCACGCTTTTCTCGTCCACGTTCAGTATCGGTCAACGCAATCATTTTTACGGCATTTTCAGCACCTTTCCCTCCCTGACATCTTTCCATCAAACTGCTAAGCGAGACAACTGTCGAGACGTCACTAATGTCGGAAAGGCTGCCACGAGCAATTGTGGTGCTAATCTTTGCAGAGTCATAACCAGCCGCCGGTGCCATTGTCCTACTCCTCTCAGTCTCCCTATTTTCAGAAATTCTAACTTCCTTAAGCTTCGTAGTTGACATGATGGATGATTTGGTTGGATCCAGCACCTGTTGTTTATCAATCACAACGGAAACTCCATTGAAACCAGTACCCATCTTACCGTCAGCATCCACGCTTTCCATCTCAATGTCTGCTGGCGAAACTACCTGTTTGCGTAAACGCGGCTGATCCACATCTTCCATATTGCTTGAGCTATCGACTACAGCGCCCATGTCAGCCATATCCTCTTTTGTGGCTCTAGAAAATTGATCATTCGCACATTTGGCTTTATGTAGCTCGTCTTCATAATGCTCTTTGATCTCCAGATTCCAGTTTTCATTATGACATGTAGTGGGATCTCCTGTAGTCGAATCATTCATCTCACTGTCGATACCACGCTTAAGACCAGAAAAAGTAGACAATTCTTGATGAACAGAAGACACATTTTCCGTATTCTCTTTCATCAAAACGTGCTTTTCTGGAGACTTCACGCAAGCTTTTTGTAATAACTTTACATCGTTCGGCACGTTTACAGCGTTAGATGAACCTAGAGTAGAAATGATCTCCATCTCAGTTCTTGAAATTAAATCGGTTCCATCGTGGACTTCGCAGAATGTTTTGGTCGCAATGCAGATGCCATCATTATCTGTTTCTGGCATATTCATCGTCTTTTCAAGCAAAACTCTGTCTCCTGCTGTAACAATTTCTTTAGCTTCACTTGAGCTGGCGATGTGGGTAGCTTGAGCGGCAAATGCAACCCCGTCACCCAGTGCTTTCAAACGTCTTTGATCATCGTTCTCAATGTCAATTGCATTCGCACAACATGCGGTATGAAACGCTTCAAGATCCATCTCCTTCCTTCTTTTATCCGTCTCCACTGATCCTGCACATGAAGCTGAAATTTTAACCTGGTCGGCATCAGGCTTTTTAACTTCCGGACTATTCAACATGTTTTTGTTTGCAATCTCCTTTTTGTTGATCGGAGACCGGTATCCGTCACTCTCCTCAACCATTCGTGAGTGCCGATAACTGTCAACCAGAGGACGAGGTGGCAGCGCAGGCTTACTCAAAACAGGCACTCGCTTTGTGCTACTCTCCATAGCGTTCGCGATATCCCAAGATATACTGCCCGATTCACTTGGCGTCTGTGATTCCAAAGACCTCTCGCTAATAGCAACGTGGTTTTCGTCCGGCTTTTCTTCGCCTTCCTCTGCACTCGCGCACGATCCACTTTCTCTGTAATTGTCGGACGCAAAGCTCGACGTACGTACAAGTGACAAAGATCTGCTACTTAGTTCGCGCTCTCTTATCCGTCCGCGATATCCTGGCTTACTATAATCCCATGGGTCGTGGCCTCGGTCTTGCATCTGTCGATCGCGGAAACTGCGTGCTGCTGATGCACTACCGTCATCACTCTCCCTGTCCCGACTCATTGACCTGTAATGTGGAGTCATTTCCGCTGCTTTGTACCGCACTTCCTTTGGGTAAAATCGGTTGCCTCGTTGATAATTAGTGTAGCGTCCACCTCTTCCACCTCGTCCTCTCGGCCAAGTGTCTCGCTCGCGTCCACGCTGTCGACTGTCAAAGCTATTCCCACGTCCTTCTTGTCCAAACACGTAATTTCTACTACCTGCACCGCGTCTATCTTGTTCCCATTTGATAAAAGTGCGGTGACCTCGAGGTGAAAAAGACCTGGAGCGAGACCGTGAGCGAGAGCGTGGCGGGGACCTAGGCGAACGTGGAGAGGGCAAGCGAGAAACTGAGCGTCCTCTAGATCGCGTCAGTTCTCGACCTCTTTGATTAGAAGCTTCAGATTCTGCTCCTTCGTAGCTCATCTGTTGACGTTTAAGGTAGCTACCACGTCCTCCTCCACTGTTATTAGTACAAGACCGAGAAAAACGACTGTGAGATGAAGATTGAGCATGCCATTGTTGATTCTGATTGCAGTAGACCGAAGGACGTGCAGTCTTGAGCGATTGGTGGTCCATGGAGTTGCGACTAGCATTGGACGACGATGACGACTTGAGCTGGATAATGCGTCTACGAGTAGGTACAGCCTCTCCAGATTCGGGTGATGAAACCTGAGATAAATCATCCGCCATGCTTCTGCTTCTTCTTCTCCTTTTTCCTATGCTTATAAAGACGTGTGTAGTATATACAGAACTAACGTGAAGAATGACTTGCACTTGTTCCTCTCCTTTTAATAATACTGGAGGCGTGGGTGTTCAATTGCTATTATAAAGGATTATGCAAGATGATAGGATTACGCTGTCTGTTTTCTAACACGATTACGGGGTGCAGCACCTGCTGTCATCGTACACGAAGGCGTCTTTTTGGCTCAAATATATTTGGAATAGAAGCGAACAGGCGGTGGTCCATTCCTAATGACTAAACGTGTCAACACCTCGGACTACCGCTTATACATTATTGACCAATGAAAAGGCGAAGAAAGAAGAACAGTATCCTATTGAATCACGAATGGAGCGAGCACTGGGGGAACCAGCGCTTGTGCTATGCAGTGTCTGTCTAAACAGCGGGGAGCACGAAGGCCGCTGGTTACCGTTACGCTGTGGAGACGATCAAGCATTGCTGGTACGTGAAGTGTGCTTACGTCCACGTTGTCCACGGCTGCAAGTTCGTAGTCACTTGTGCGTGACGCATGTGCTGGAACTTGAACTCGCATGGCAGGGTAACTATAGCTTACGCACGTGTCATGGCTGCTGTATGAACACGTTGCAGCTTTATAATGAAAAGCGCGATATTTGGTTCATTCTTAAGGCTAACAAACACTCAGTTTATGCGCATGGTGTTGAGAGACGCATCAAGACGCGATCCTCAGTCTCTTTGGACGTGCCTATGCGTGCGGCTAAGAAGAGGTCTATAAGAAATCGGCGATTAGTGCAGCGCAAGTCCGGTCGCAACATTAAACAGCATGTGCAGCGGGAACAGATGCTTGCGTATGAGTGGAGCTTGGGCAATTTGCCTTTAAAAAAGAGCAAACATCTTTGGAAAGACAATGAAAAGCGTGTCGTGATGGAAAATGACCCAACATCCAATTCTTCTTCAAAACTTGCTACAAAACAGTTGAAGAGGAAACAAGATCGGGATGTAAAAAACGTCAATCCAGGACCATTGGAAGTTTTCTGCGTCATACTGGGTTGCACACGTTTTGCTAAGACGGGCTACTGTTGCCGCTTTCATTCGTCGAAGCCACTCGTGTTTGATAAGCCGAATATGGAAAGTTAAACGACAGGGTTGACTGCTTTCTTGGCAAAGTAATTGCTGCTTGTCATTGACATAAAACATGAAAGGTGAATGAACAGATATTAGTCTATATTGAAATTATGACGCGAATTTGATGAAAACGGCTTGATGTGGCAGCACGGACGACATACAAAGTGAAGATAAGACGTCCGTATTGCAGCAGCAAAATAGGTGTAGTGAGTATTGACGACAAAGGAGAGTCATAATGTTTGTTGTTCTTATTCACGAGATTTCTTCATCTTTAGACACTTTTGGTTATAGCAGGCGATAAGTATAAAAAGAAATCATTGATTAGAAAAGATAGATAGCCTTTGCGACAATAGTAAAAAATATAGTATAGAGAATGCTTTCAATCTGTTAAAAAAACTTTAAAAAAATAGATGTGTCAAGCTATCTATCATTAATACTAAAAACCGAATAATTAAAGGACTCACATTGTATGCCAAGCTGGTCTACTTTTTCTAATTTGCGGTTTTTCGTCAAATTTAAGCCATCATTTTGTGTGGTCCACCCCCCCAACGACATCGCAAATAACATTGGTGTCGGTTGTATTTGAAAGATACACAATATTACAATTTGCTGCTTACGTGCTCAACGAAACAAATAAGCAGTAGCCAAAGCTGGGTTGTACCTCTTGTCCGTCAACGACGACGCTGACGCTCGCGGCGATTAAAGCCTTCACGACCAAACGCATTGCCACTAGCCGTACCGGCACCTCCAAATCCAGTCTGGCCACCGATGAACCCATTGTTGCCACTCTGACCAAAGTTCCCCCTTGCACCCTGTCCTCCGATCCCAACAAACCCATTTCCACCTTGTGCACCGAACCCCATCTGCTGTCCGAATCCACTTGCACCATTCCCGTTGAAGCCACCCATGCCAACACCAGCTCCACCGAACATATTACTACCACCAGCAAAACCACCACCACGACCACCGAAACCTGGCATTCGATTGCCACCGCCGTTGAAGCCACCACCGAGGGTGCCCATGGTATTTCCGCCAAACCCACCGGTGTTTCCAAGAAGTCCACCAGCAGCACCTGGAGCGCCGAGTCCAGCTCCAAGCGCATTGTTGTTATTTCCGAAACCTGGCGGCGATGGAGCCCCGGCCATACCTACGTCACCAGACTGAGGGACGGCTGAGGCAGCTCCTGGCTGTTGCGATCTAGATGGACCAACACTAGCAAAGCTTCTTGTTGGTGCTGGCGTGGCTCTTGATGGCCGGGTCACCGTTGCCGCAGAAGCTGCGGCTGGACGTCCATTTACACTCGTCGGAGCTGGCGTGGCAGCTCCAGGTACCGGTGCCACGTTGGTCCCTAATGCAACTGGGGCAACAACATCGGTGGCGGCGACGTTGTTGGAGACGACATTCGTGGTGGAGTCAACGACGGCAGTGTCGGAGCTGGCCACCACTGTAGAAGGGATGCTGACGGGAACAGGAATGATCTGCGGTACCTCTACAGGGACAGGAATCGCGATTTTCTTGACTTTCTTAACATGGTGATGGTGGTGGTCCTTCCTGCTTTCATCGGTATCTTCTTTGACCGCGGGTATGTCCGCGTTCATACGTAGGCTACGAAGTACAGGTGCATTTGGCGCACTATCCGTTGCAACAAACATGCTCAGCGCCAGGAATGTCGCGAATGTAGCGGCAGGTTTCATGGTAAATTGGAAAGTCGGTAGTGGTGGCGGGACGCTAGTTTGTTGCTCGCAAGTTGATGAATGATCTCCGTGTCGTGATTGTGATGTTATCCAGGCCTTCTCCGTCACGACATTTCACTCCAAGGCAAGTCTTGAAGACGCTCGAAGTGGGAGGTAGAGTGATGGTCGAAATGACCGTTTTGACATGATGGAGAAGCGGTAAAGCTCAACATAATACTTTGACCATGTGACTGAGCGACGGGATGTGATACATTCAAACGCATGACTCTGAGAACGTATGTGTCTTGGTCATCTTATTGTGTCAGTAATCAATTGCTATTGCATGACGGCGAATATGTCCAAAGATTACAGCTTTCCTGACACTGTCTGTATGAGGCTCATCACTTGCTTCCTTGACGTTTGACACAAACTTCACACTACATAGCTTCCTTAACAATTTATTCCACGTTCTTATGCTACTACAGTAACATGCAACTCGCAAATAACATTGGTGTCGGTTGTATTTGAAAGATACACAATATTACAATTTGCTGCTTACATGCTCAACGAAACAAACTTCACACTACATAGCTTCCTTAACAATTTATTCCACGTTCTTATGCTACTACAGTAACATGCAACTCGCAAATAACATTGGTGTCGGTTGTATTTGAAAGATACACAATATTACAATTTGCTGCTTACGTGCTCAACGAAACAAATAAGCAGTAGCCAAAGCTGGGTTGTACCTCTTGTCCGTCAACGACGACGCTGACGCTCGCGGCGATTAAAGCCTTCACGACCAAACGCATTGCCACTAGCCGTACCGGCACCTCCAAATCCAGTCTGGCCACCGATGAACCCATTGTTGCCACTCTGACCAAAGTTCCCCCTTGCACCCTGTCCTCCGATCCCAACAAACCCATTTCCACCTTGTGCACCGAACCCCATCTGCTGTCCGAATCCACTTGCACCATTCCCGTTGAAGCCACCCATGCCAACACCAGCTCCACCGAACATATTACTACCACCAGCAAAACCACCACCACGACCACCGAAACCTGGCATTCGATTGCCACCGCCGTTGAAGCCACCACCGAGGGCGCCCATGGTATTTCCGCCAAACCCACCGGTGTTTCCAAGAAGTCCACCAGCAGCACCTGGAGCGCCGAGTCCAGCTCCAAGCGCATTGTTGTTATTTCCGAAACCTGGCGGCGATGGAGCCCCGGCCATACCTACGTCACCAGACTGAGGGACGGCTGAGGCAGCTCCTGGCTGTTGCGATCTAGATGGACCAACACTAGCAAAGCTTCTTGTTGGTGCTGGCGTGGCTCTTGATGGCCGGGTCACCGTTGCCGCAGAAGCTGCGGCTGGACGTCCATTTACACTCGTCGGAGCTGGCGTGGCAGCTCCAGGTACCGGTGCCACGTTGGTCCCTAATGCAACTGGGGCAACAACATCGGTGGCGGCGACGTTGTTGGAGACGACATTCGTGGTGGAGTCAACGACGGCAGTGTCGGAGCTGGCCACCACTGTAGAAGGGATGCTGACGGGAACAGGAATGATCTGCGGTACCTCTACAGGGACAGGAATCGCGATTTTCTTGACTTTCTTAACATGGTGATGGTGGTGGTCCTTCCTGCTTTCATCGGTATCTTCTTTGACCGCGGGTATGTCCGCGTTCATACGTAGGCTACGAAGTACAGGTGCATTTGGCGCACTATCCGTTGCAACAAACATGCTCAGCGCCAGGAATGTCGCGAATGTAGCGGCAGGTTTCATGGTAAATTGGAAAGTCGGTAGTGGTGGCGGGACGCTAGTTTGTTGCTCGCAAGTTGATGAATGAGCTCCGTGTCGTGATTGTGATGTTATCCAGGCCTTCTCCGTCACGACATTTCACTCCAAGGCAAGTCTTGAAGACGCTCGAAGTGGGAGGTAGAGTGATGGTCGAAATGACCGTTTTGACATGATGGAGAAGCGGTAAAGCTCAACATAATACTTTGACCATGTGACTGAGCGACGGGATGTGATACATTCAAACGCATGACTCTGAGAACGTATGTGTCTTGGTCATCTTATTGTGTCAGTAATCAATTGCTATTGCATGACGGCGAATATGTCCAAAGATTACAGCTTTCCTGACACTGTCTGTATGAGGCTCATCACTTGCTTCCTTGACGTTTGACACAAACTTCACACTACATAGCTTCCTTAACAATTTATTCCACGTTCTTATGCTACTACAGTAACATGCAACTCGCAAATAACATTGGTGTCGGTTGTATTTGAAAGATACACAATATTACAATTTGCTGCTTACGTGCTCAACGAAACAAATAAGCAGTAGCCAAAGCTGGGTTGTACCTCTTGTCCGTCAACGACGACGCTGACGCTCGCGGCGATTAAAGCCTTCACGACCAAACGCATTGCCACTAGCCGTACCGGCACCTCCAAATCCAGTCTGGCCACCGATGAACCCATTGTTGCCACTCTGACCAAAGTTCCCCCTTGCACCCTGTCCTCCGATCCCAACAAACCCATTTCCACCTTGTGCACCGAACCCCATCTGCTGTCCGAATCCACTTGCACCATTCCCGTTGAAGCCACCCATGCCAACACCAGCTCCACCGAACATATTACTACCACCAGCAAAACCACCACCACGACCACCGAAACCAGGCATTCGATTGCCACCGCCGTTGAAGCCACCACCGAGGGCGCCCATGGTATTTCCGCCAAACCCACCGGTGTTTCCAAGAAGTCCACCAGCAGCACCTGGAGCGCCGAGTCCAGCTCCAAGCGCATTGTTGTTATTTCCGAAACCTGGCGGCGATGGAGCCCCGGCCATACCTACGTCACCAGACTGAGGGACGGCTGAGGCAGCTCCTGGCTGTTGCGATCTAGATGGACCAACACTAGCAAAGCTTCTTGTTGGTGCTGGCGTGGCTCTTGATGGCCGGGTCACCGTTGCCGCAGAAGCTGCGGCTGGACGTCCATTTACACTCGTCGGAGCTGGCGTGGCAGCTCCAGGTACCGGTGCCACGTTGGTCCCTAATGCAACTGGGGCAACAACATCGGTGGCGGCGACGTTGTTGGAGACGACATTCGTGGTGGAGTCAACGACGGCAGTGTCGGAGCTGGCCACCACTGTAGAAGGGATGCTGACGGGAACAGGAATGATCTGCGGTACCTCTACAGGGACAGGAATCGCGATTTTCTTGACTTTCTTAACATGGTGATGGTGGTGGTCCTTCCTGCTTTCATCGGTATCTTCTTTGACCGCGGGTATGTCCGCGTTCATACGTAGGCTACGAAGTACAGGTGCATTTGGCGCACTAT